GAATAACAAGTGAAATATCCACTAAAGCAAAGCTTAAGTATATAACACCAACACCGGGACCCCTCCCGGCAGGGGCGGAGCCAGCCTCAAATTTCACCGGGGTCGGCAATATTTTTTAGCGGGGTCATTAACCTAGTAAACATTGTTTGAACAGTATTTTATACTAAAAATTTTTAAATCCATAGGGGTCAGCTGACCCCAGCCACAAGGTGTGGCTCCGCCACTGCCTCCCGGCGTTGGGTTATGCAGGTACGAAGGCCGTTCAAGTTGAAGGAGCCCGGGTGATATCTATTTTACTTTATTGGCACCGTCTGTGGGAACCCGTTCAAAAGGTCAAGCGGAGTTCCGACTGAAAAAATTCGAAAACCTCATTCTTCTCCACCGGCCCCCGCCACCGCCGCCACCGCCGGCCGCCAGAAAAGGTGCTCCGATCGGAAAATCGTTTACATCATTGGGTAGATCTCTTCGAGTTGAATCTCCTCTTAAAATTTCATGCAAAAATTCATCCAAGAAGGCCGTCAATTTTGCGGTCAAAGTTTTCAGATCTAGCAAAAATGGTCAAAATCGGACATTCAAATGCGTTTTCCGGGCAATCCGTGAGGGCTATGGATAATCAGAGGTTAAAACCGGAATCCTCTCGACGAGACGAATCTCCAGCTACTGATCTTCGCCGGAAACCGCCGCCTCCGCTGCCTCCGCCGCCGTCCGCCAAGAGTTATCCGATCGGAAAAACTCTTACACCATCGCGAAGCTCTCGTCGTGCACGTTCTGCCCTTAAAATTTCAAGCAAAAATTCCTCCCAAAAAATCGTCAATTTGACGGTCAAAAGTTTTGGATCTAGAAGAAAATTAGTCAAAATCCGGTCATCTTCTCCATTTTTCATGTCGATTTCCGGCGAATCACCGCAAAGCGAGTGCACCCTTGGAATCGCCTTGTCAAGGCGCTCACACTACTTATCGTTTTCACTAGAACTGGCGAGGTATCGCCGGTTAAGAATTTTTCGGCACCGTTGTTCGCGCAGATCTCAGCATGGCGCATGATTAAGCACAGTGCAGCCATTTTCGGTCCAGGCGAGCTCGCACCCTCCAGCCCAGCGTGGAGCCCAGTTGTGCGCAGCCCAGCAGCAGTTGATGGTGACCCAACAAAGGAGCCCAGGGAGAAGCCTCTTCAGCCCAGCAACACGCGCGCGGGCCACATCCGACCCATGAAGCCCGCGCGCATCACAGATTTTGGCCCGCGCGAAGCTTGTCCAGCCCGCGTCCTGGAGCAGCGTGTCCCAGCCCGCATCTCTCCTACCCACGGCCCGCACTCTGCCCTCTTCACTCACAGACTCCAGCCCGCGAGCGGCCCACTTCTTCTCAACCTCCAACAGGCCCAATGCCTCGTCCAACAGCCCGCACGCGGCCCGGTTAGCGCCCAAATCGCCTACAATGCGGCTCATGGCTCGCCCAGCCCATCAAGTGGCCCAGAATGATACAAACATCTCCATTTCGTGCCTAATACTAATGTGGGATGATTCAACACGGACGAGAGGTAAATTTTGGTAACATTCTCGTGATGAAGGTACAACGTTCATTTAAATTATGGACCGAAGGATTTTTAAATTGGTAAAAATGGGATAAATTATTTGATTTAGTCGTGGAATCATTTGACATGTTCGTGGTGATATTGGATTTGATCGTGAAATCATTTAACATATTCATGGAAAATATTGAATTTATTCGTGGACATTATTTGATTTGTTCGATGAGACATTATTTAATTTATTCAAGGGGATATATATTCAATTCATTCGTGGATTATTTGATTTGGCCGAAAAGAATTATTTGACTCGTTTGTGGAATTATGTGATTTATTCGAGGAGATATTATATTGTTCGAGGAGATATTATTTGATTGTTCGGGATGATATTTGATTTATTTATGGAATATTATTGGATTTATTTATGGATGATTATTTGATTTGCTCGAGGGATTATTTGATTTGTTCGTGGCGATATTTGATTTATTCGAGGAGATACTATTTGATTGTTCGGGATTATATTTGATTTATTTATGGAATATTATTGGATTTATTTATGGATGATTATTTGATTTGTGTTAGTGTTATATACTGAAAGCTTGGCTTTGGATGATATTACACTTTTACACTTTATGAATGAGAAACATGTTAGATTAAACAAGTTCTACGTTCTATTGTTTTGCATTAGATAGTGTGGGTCGTCATCGGGCGAACCGAAAATCATACTATCAGTTACTCGCAAAACAAGAATAAGTGGTTCACAACCCAGATGGACATGAACACCCCATCGTGAACGGTTGTAGTGTCCACTGTATAGTTTGTCTTTACTGATTAGTTGCACTAGTACATTTTTGTATTGAACAGGATCCCAGAGAGGAGCAATTCGTTTTATACCGATCGTTGTAAACGAACTAGGCCTCGGTTAATTACTGCTTACTCTTAACCCGTAAGATATTAAACAGGCATATATGTGTAGTACTTATTACTTTGATTTACATGGGTGAGGCTTAGTGAACTGGGCCTATAGACCCGCTGTCTTGGGTAATATTGCTACATGTAGGATGAGCTGTTAG